CTTCTGGAAGAAGGAGGGGTACAAAGGGGAAAATGTATGAAGGAGAAAGTCCTCAAAGAAAGGTGAACCACAGGAGAAAGTTGAGTGTGTGGGACAGAGGAAAAGAAGACTATGAATTTAATTTCAAGGGGAAAAGTGCTAAAGTCACTTCTTGCAGAGAAACAGCAAATACCTCCAGGAACTCAAGGGGAAAAAAATATATTGAAAGAAAATCCAAGGATAGAGTTTCTTCTGATTACACACAAGCAGTGTGTAATCAATTACCTCCAATTGACTTGCTACTGCTTAAATCTCAGCAATAAAGTTCATTCATTCATCCCAAGCTCTCAAAAAAACCCAGTGCAGCAATAACTAAAAAAAAAAAAAAAAAAAAAAAAAAAGGAGTTTGCATTCCCCAAAGCAGGACATTATGTGTATGATGGAAGGGCCAAAGAAACTTTGTCAGGCCTATGCCTGATAAGAAAGAAAGGGGTGACAAAATGAAATGTTTGCAGACACAAGAAAATAGAGCAGCAAATACAGGGAGGGGAAAAAATAAAGTAAAAATAACAAAGAAATAAAATGAGGGACATACTGCTCATCTGGAGCTTGTCAAATGTTACATGACAGGCAGGGAATGCTGATGGATTGCTTCATCGCCTTTGGTGCCGTGCTTTCAGTGCTGCTCCAGACTGACAGCATGTTTCCCTATCCAAAGGAAAAGGCACCTTTGGTGATGCTGAGGACAGTGGACTCGAGCAACTCTGCTGCAGGTGGGAGAGCAGTGGCTGCAGGGCTTGCCAACATGCCAGAAGGACATCCTTTGGTCTCCTGGCTTTTTATTTCCCTCCCTCTCCAATCAGACTAAATGGAATGGAGACATTCGCAGGTTTAGAAGTGGCAAGGGTTCAGCCCACTCCATCTCTGAAGCACCGAAGGGTTGAAACAAGAACAAATGCTTACAGAACGTTTGTGCACTTTCCAATTGCTGCTCGAGTGACCATAGGGACAAAGCAAGCTACGATTCACCTTCCAAGCAGCCCTGGGAAAGGGGTTAGGAAACTACCTTCAGTCTTAGAAGGGGAAGCTGATGTGAAACCTGACATGGTCAGGACTTAAAAGAAACCCCAAAAGTTACTGGGCTACAGCCAAACATTCAAGCTGACAGAGCAGAGATTCCCAACATTGATGCTCTCTCATCCCCTGCCTTCCTCCCTGCTCGCTCCAGGGCATCAGCAACCGCACCCAGCAAGATCCTCTCCTGGATTCCCTCCCCTCCCATTCATGATCGCATAACATCCCCGGGGCGATTGCTCACACGGAAAAGCAACATGAGGAAAGTATTTAATGTATGTTTATGTCTTTTAATATAGTGTAGCAGCTGGAATCAAAGGCAAAAAATCCCAGGCTTCGGCACATGAGCACTGTGGCTTTCCACAGAGACCCCTTCTAATCACCACCACTCCCTGGACCACAGCTTTAGAAATCAGGCACTAGCCCCTACTGCCTAATTAGTAGAGCAGTGGAAAGCTTAGGAACAGGCATATCTTCTTCCTCCCTAAGTGGCCACTGAGTAAATGCTGTATCCTCAGTTCACAGCCCTCTTTTACACTGCTGGCATTACCAGCCCTTTGTGTACCCACATGCTGCTACCTAAATTGCTTCCATGTTTTCATTACTTGCCCTCTGTGCTGTGTGTATTGAAACTCCTGCAAGAATGCTGAAGTGGTATTTCAAAGCACTGGGGACTACTGAAGATGTGGCGGAAATTATTATGCAACAAACTTAAGTGATTTTTCAAGTCCTGATAAGAGTTTGCTCCTCCTCAGGGGAAAAAATAAATTCAGGTGCTGCTCCATGGGGTGCACGACAATGGCTCCCACCCACCAGAGACACAAGCATGGCACTTGCAGCTCACGTTATGCTCAGCTTTCCATCCTTATACATGGGTCTGTGGGGCCTGAATATATGCCCTGCATCCATAACAAGGGGATAGATTTAATTAATGATGCTGCTCCATGCACAAGGGAAATTTGTCCATTGAGCCAATGTCTCCTGGTAGAAATCCACAGGGAACAGTGGCATGATGCCATCTGAAGATCTGCCCCACAGTTTTAGTTCTTTGTTCCCTGTTGCTGCCAGTAGTAGCTGCATTTATGGAGTTTATGCTGATTAAAGCAATAGGCAATCAAACAGCCTAGCTCTGAAATAACAAAACTGCCAGAAGCATTTAAATGAGACACTTCTTTTTTCAACCACTACCCCAGCTCTCAGTGATCTGCAAGTACATGCAGAAGGTACCTGCATGCTCCATTCTCCCAGGGAAACCCAGAGGAGGACCAGACATCTTCAGTTCCATTTGAATTTCAGCTTGCTGTTTCCTCCCAACTATCTTCCTCCCAAAATTGCTGTAATTGCCTTGAAAGCAATCTTACTGGCAGCAATGGAACCCTTCTCCCACCAATTTCCAACCTCCCTCTCCTGTAATGCCTTCCATCACCCCTTGATACAAGACGTTCACAGCCAAAGCCTGATGCTGCAACCCACAAGCTAAGAAGCAGCCGTTTACCAAATCCCTTCAGCTGCAGGAATACAGGTTATTTAACATCCCAGCTTTTCAGGCGGCAGGTCTCCAGGTACCAAACCTCTTGAAATCCCAGCACTGGGATCTTCCAGATCCCTGCTGGGGACTCCTCTGCCCCAGCCCTGGCCCAGCAGCTGCTGTGCAGCAGCCGTTGGGTGTTATGCTAATGGATGTGCCAGTGCAACAGCCCTCTCCCCATCTGCTCAGAGCATCCACCTGCTGGGTTGGGGTTTGTTTTGTTTTGTTTAGTTTTAATGGCCAGATTAGGCCAGTGATGTCCCAGAACACTTCCAGCCTGCGCACAAGGGTGTGAACACAGAACCAGCCAGCCCAGACCTCACAGCACAAGTGCAAACTGGATGCAGCCACATTTGGGCCATGATCCACTTCTTTCAAAGTCCTTATCTTTCTGTAATTAAAGCCTCACCCTGAGTTTAACCACACTACAAGGTGCTTTTTTGTTCTTGTTGAGGTTGGGGTTTTTTGCACATAGATTTCTAATATTTAACTTTATTCATAGAATCACAGACTAGTTTGGGTTGGAAGGGACCTTAAAGCCCTTCCAGTTCCAACCTCCTGCCACAGGCAGGGACACACTCCCCCTCATGTCTAACCTCTTTCAACTTAAAGCCCCTTAAATTCCCCTTTGGCCTATAACTACCTGCCCTTGTAAAAGTCTCTCTCCATTCATTTAACCTTTTTGGATGTCCATGTGAAGGAATGAACATGCTTTCCACAGTCATCTGACTGGGTGATAAACAGAAATGAAAGCTCTGATTTATAAGCAGTAATATTCTCCATGATCCATGCATGGTAGTCAGTGGTTTGCAAGTCTTCTCCCTGTATGGCCACTGAGGAATTGCTTGTGACACCATTGTTGTCAGTAAGCATGGTTTCATACAACTTGTAGTTCTCCTGAGACCTCTGCAAGTATTCAGGGAGAAAAGAGAAGTGGAAATAAGACATCTCTCAGTGCTAAGACAACAGTCCATCCTTCTCAATAGGTGGGAAAATGTCTTCTCAGTATGCTATAGGATTAAACCTTTGCTGTTCTAAAAAGCAATTTTTTTCATTCACATACAGTATGCCATTTAACTGGATTCTAAGAAAAAGATCTCCTTGATTTTGTGGGGGTTTTGCTTGTTTTTTTCAATTTCAGCTTCTAAAAGAATTACTCTCAGAGTGAGCAATGTAATCTCCCTATGTTTTCCCTTGACTCAACGGAAAATGTTGATGCTTCAAAAAGTGATATAGAATTTCCCAAGGACACTGTCTACAAGGAGAGCCATTGGCAATTGGCCTTCTCAAGGCTTCAAGTAGTCCTTCAAGCACCCATCAAGTGTATAAGGTATGGGAGAAGTGGGGACCTTCTGCAGAGAGAGAGATCCAAGCCGTGTAAGTAGGAAAGCCAAGTCATGCCCTGAGCTGTAACCAGTGGACACCTACTTGAATGTGACGGATTTGTCTAGGTTTGGGAGATACTTATGAGTCTGTCATCAGATCTGTGTTCCTGCCTGAACTCATCATGATGCCACATGTTACTAAGGAGACAGAGGTGAAATATTTGTACTATGACAAAGCCTCAACCCAGCCAAAGCTCCTTTGTCTAATGCCTAGGACAGAAAACAGCACTACACCCAAAATAACATGAGTAGTCACCAGCTATCACAATCCACACCAGTGCTGCTTAAAACACTTGAACTAAGTTTGTTTTAAGTATAGGGGACATTGCTGAAAAGTCAACAGCAAAACAAAAAGGTACTCCTGAAAAGACCTCATAAAAAGAAAAAAAATTTTTCCCTCCCTCTTCATCTCCTTGACTAAATGAAAAAAGAATAAAAACATCAATTTTCAGTCGAATTGAAAGAACCAATAGTTTCTCTCCAGAAGTGTATTTCAAGAAAATGATATGCATCCAGGAGAAAATAAGACTTGTAATGGAAGTATTTTCTGAAGCATAACTATAGTGTTCCTAGCACAATGCTGTAATCAAGAATAATGGAGCCCTTTGCCCGGTATGCAGGAATGGATTCAATTGTTCACTGTGCAAATACCTGTATTTTAAAAATGTGGTTGAAAGCTTTAACCGCAAAAGGCTCGAGCATTAGTTCTTAGACACAAAGCAGTTCAGAAGTGGGCTCCTCCATTTATCACTCATGTAATGATTAATCTTAAATCTCAATTACACGTGAAAATAGAAGAGGCCTAGCTGAACTTTTGATCCCTTCTGAATTGATTCATCTGAAGGATACCTCAAGATCATCCCCACGGTGCAGGATGATAACCACTCTATATTACTTCCTCTTCAGCCAAGCGGGGCTTTGCAAGCCTTGCAAAGGTTATGTCTTGGACACAAATTGTTTGAGCAGGTTTAATCCTACCCTCTCTCTCTCTGTGGTCAGGAGAAAGGGACAGAAAAGGAAATAATAGGACTTACTTTCTTTTTGGAGTGTGATCTGTCCTCTTCTTTAGCTGCTTTACTATTTTTCCCAGCTCTGGAAAGCTTCTGCTCTCCAGACTGCTTGATGGTGATTTTGATCTCGGGAGGGCAAATATAGTTCTCCAAGTTCTTTGGGGGCTTCTTAGCTCTCTTGGTGGTTTGGATCTTTAGCTTTAAACTCCCCTCTGTGAAGTTAGCCTCCTTGATGGAAAACTCCTGCTCCTCCAAACCATCTCCCGCCACCCATTTCTCACTGTCCGCATTGGAAGTGGAATCCACATCTCTTCCAGAACCCAGCTCATCTTCTTCCTCAGGCTCCAGCCTCTCGCTGCTCACTGGGATCCCCTTCCCCGAGCCTGCTGTGGGCAGCATCGTCTCCCCTGTGCAGCCAGAGGTAGGAGGAGGCTTCACAGAGGTGACAGTGGCTGGCAGGAAGTCTGCCTCACCTCCCCTTTGCCGGGAGCTGCCCAAAGTTTCCCTGGGCTCCATAGCAATACAGCAACGCTCTGGAGTTTTATCAGAGGTAAGGGGAGCACGGGAGGGGATGAGGAGATCAAGGGCAGGTACAATCCCAGGGAACGAATGGTATCCGTCTGCTGAATTCAACGTCTGGATGGACCAGAGGCTGCGGGTTGCTCAGAAGAGACCAGATCTGCCACTGCCAAAAGAAAGGAGAAGAAAAAAGGAAGTTAGCATGTGCGCGCAAATCAAACATGAGTGTGGAGATGACTGAAAGAGGGCATGCTTGGGCTTCCCCTGCAGCATTTCAAGGGCCTTCCTTGAAGCAAATGGGAACCAAGGCTGGCTGGCATTTTGGAGGGCTAGATCTGGTGTTGCAAAGCAACGGATGGTAGCCACATATGTTGCTAAATTGATGCAAATGGAGACATATATGTATATAAAAATAATAATAATGGTTTATAAATGCAAAAGCTTTCCATTCTGGACTTGGGAAATAAATGAGGAGCCAATCAGCTCTCCACACCCATGGACCTCCTTATTACTTCAAAGTGCTTGCTGTCATAGGGTTTTTAGAGGGAATAAAAATAGAGGCAGATGCTTGCCTCAGGTTAAACAATAACCCAGTGATCAGAGCACCAAAAAACATGGTGTTGTCTTATGAATCAGGAGGCAGTGTTTCAAACTCCCTATTTCCCTCCTTCTGAGGTGAGAGATGCCCTCGTCTGCCACTATTCTGGGAGGACTCTGCTTTGGATGAGTTATTCATTACACTCTGGGCCAGGCACACACTAAGTGGAGCTCAAAGTACTCCCTGGAAGTGTAGGAAGATCCAGTTGGGTCTCTTGCAGGGCTATCAGGAACCTGAGTATAGAGGGCAATGGAGGAAAGCTAAACTCAGTGTTTTCCAGAGTTCCTCATGCCACTGGGTACCTCTGCTCTGTGGTGAGGGCTGGCTGAAGCAAGGACTGTGTTCTCATCCTTTCAGTTGTCAACTTTCTTTTAAGCATCACACATTGAACTCTTTGAGATGGAAGCATTTGTACTCAGGACCTTACAGAGTTTTGGTCAAAATTAATGGGAGAAGCTGTTGAATGTTCAACTGAGGGAAAATGCGTATCACCCAATGACAAAGAAAGCCAAATACCAAACATTTTGTTGAAAAAAAAACGTACATGTGGGGTGTTTTAAAGGTGTTGAGGTGTGTTCATACACTCTCCCTAAAATCCCCCATATAGCCATGTCCTAACATGACAAGACAGTTTAGTCTACAAGATTAGCAGAAGAGTATTTTGGAGAGAAACAAAGATATTTTCTGCTACTTCAGCAGAAACAGTTCCCTGGTGCATCACAGGAGTATCACTTTTGACATGAGGAGAAGGGAACAAGAAGGCGCTGCCAGGAGTAGGTGCTGCGGGTGTAGACCTACTCTTTCAGTAGGTCTCTCTCTTCCCGGCTAGATTAGCTCTCCTAAACTGCCAAATCCCACCTCTCAACCAAATGCAAGCAAGATCTGAGCACAGCCAGGGATACTCCAGGTCATTCTTAGTAGCAATAAACCATAAAGGGGAAACAAAAATTATCGTGCTACCTATCATCAAATTGTAATAGTAATCAGTGTAGACTACTCTAAAGCACACCTAACCAAGAAAAATCACATGTCCTTGTACCACTGGCTTCTTTCTGTTTTTTAAAAATACTTTGCATGACCTTAAAATTCAAAAAGAAAGAATAACAAGCACCTTTTATTAGTTATATATCCACATGTCCACTGGAGTGTAGCCACGGGTCACCTGCCTGACCCTGGCGCATATGGCTATTAATGGAATGTCCTAAGCATCCTAGAGCTCCATGAAATCATTGGGTGACCTCCACCAGGTCCCAGTAGACACAAATTCAGATAAAGCTCCCATAAATAGCAGAAGCTGACAGCCCAAGCATAAAGGAAAAAAGGGGAAGAACTATCATGGAGCTTGAACTGCCATCTGGCCTTAGATGTGGTTTCTGTAGTTCATAGGAGAGATAAGTACATCATAAGAACACTTATGCTTGTTATACATCTTCTGGCAATAAGGAGGAGACACATTTCCCAGAGCTGCTGCCACTGGTCTCATTTAAGGTGATCTTGAAGAATTAACAGATCCGAGGTCTCCTGCACACCTGCCTTGACTCATTCTGTGGTCAGCAAGTCTCCATTTCATCACCTGTGAAACAAAGATCAAGCTTACCTCATTCAAACCTACTGTAGGGTGGGTTAGTAAATGCCCTTACATAGTTTAGAACCCAAGTGTTTACTGTGTGGTAGTCGCTAATTACTAACGCAATTAGTGCATTAAAGCCACCCAGTTGCAAGGAGCTGCTCCACCTAATTGACCAGCCTTGCTCCTTGCCTCTCTTTTGCGACTGTGGAGGTGATGGGAGTCAGGGTTACCTTCCTCTTCCAATCAGTCCAATAAAAATAAAAATAAAAAAAAAAGAGAAAGGCCATGCTATTCATCTGCCATTTCACATCACTGTTAATTTCCTTGAAGAGGAGCGCAGTGTACACACACTCCTGGGCTGCAACACAAACACAAGGTGGTAAAAGCGCAGCAGTGCAGCATTCCAGGGAGTTACTGCTCTGGTATGCACACATGTACAATGCGCACTCTGTGCTGGCCTCCACCCACAGGCTTTTAACCTCTCTCACTGCTGGCAAGAAAGAGAAGGCTTCTGGCAGACAGCATCTAGCTCAGCAGGCAGGGCAATAGGATGAGTCTGTAACCACCAAGGGTGCAGGGAAGGGACCATGGCTACCAGCATAATGAATCAACCCACGTGGGACCCTGTGCTGAACGGGACCTGAAATAAAACTCACTGCTCTGAACTGTTGTCAGTCTTTCAGGCTTGGAGTCATGGGGTTGTCTGTTATGGAGGGTGGATAGAAAGCCAGATTCCTGCTCCAAAGTCTGGTTGTGGGTTTTGGACCTAGGCTCAGGGTCATGACAGCCAAACACTTACCCCTTCTTGGCAGAGTGCCTCCAGGTCAGTAGAAAATAAGCTACACATGCATAAAGTCATTGCTCTACACTAGTGTCAGGTGAGTTCGTGCCAAATCTGCTCTAAAATCCCACTTAAAAATATTGGCCTCGTGTTCTCCTGAAAGCCTGCAGATGACGGTATCACCAGACCCGCAGGTAGCAACAAATAACCCTCTGCTCAAACACCATGCAGAATTAACTGGGTCATTGTTTTAGGTATCTCCTTACTTTCCTCCAGGGTTAATAGTTAAATGACTTGAGTGCAGGGATATCATACTTGTCTTTCTTGTTTGGGCAGGCTACCTGTGCTTTGACTAATTAGGAAACCTCACTTCAGGCTTCTGAATGTGTAACCTCTTTTGGAAACCTCCCCATCTCCCCTCTGCAGACTGCCTGCAGAAACGCTGAAGGGACAGTAATGAACACTTTTCCTCCAACAGCTCTTCTGCCTTAGCTGGCAATGTGCACATCTGGAAACCTAGGGAGGAAGCGGATTTTCCAGGAGACCTCTATCTCCTTTTAAGCATTGAGGAGACAGGGGCTGTCTATACTCTTAAGTGCTCACCTAAACTGCCCTTCCAGGCCTCACCAGCATCAAGTCCCACTCAATAAACAGCTACAGAGGCATTTTACCATCTGAATTAAGCTCCTGGAGAAAGTGTTACTGCTAGCAGGCTTCCTGCAGTCAAGTTAAATTTGAGGAGGATAATTCACAGGTGAATGACAACAAATTTCACACAAGTTGGCATTAGCTCTTAATTAGGGAGAGATTCATGCTTCCTCTGATAAGTACTGAGAAATAATCAAATGCCTGTGTGCTCACCCTTGCTACTGCTGTTCCTTATCAGCTCCTCTGGGCACCTCAAACACACTTCTGGAAGCAAAGACCTGAAGTACAAGACCTTCCTTGAGGTCATACTAGATGCCTGCTACTAAGGGTTTTGAATAACTTCCTTTCTTCTGCCTCAGGCAACTACTCGTGCTTGCAAGTATTCAGATGCCAGGGCTATAAAGTGATTAAACTAAGAATTTGCTGAGGACAAACATAGATGTGAGAGACTACAGTGGAGGAGAGAAATCCACCTATTTGGGATTCTCCATGAAATTAAGTGAGCATAATACTTGGCATGGCTTTTGCCCTAAGGGTTGGAGCAACCACATTAGTAACAAGCAAATGCTGATTAAACAAATGCAAGCAAGCTGGGTTAGCTGCCCAGCATTTGTGCCTCTCCCCTAATTTGCTCAAGCACACGGAATATGAGCAGAGAGCTTAGAGCAGTATTAAGAGGTGCTGCCCAAATCCCATAGAACACTTATTCCAGCCGTAACTTCTGCTACTGAGACTGTTTTCAATTTATGCATAGAGTCCAAAATGCCTTAAAATGTAAAAAGAAAAAACAATGCTATTGAACAGTTTCAAGTGAGGGGAAACTGAGGCACGAGTCTGAGAGTGTCACAGTAACCTTGAAGTGGTGCCCACATCTTCTCAACCCCCACATCTACCTTGTTGTCTTTGGATCTCACATTGTCTCATGTGACATACAGTTAAATCCCTATCTCTGCAAAATATCAGTAGTCCTGGAAGTCTCTTTATACTCCATGTTTTTAAAACCATTCACCACAAAGTGCTGTAGACTATACAGCAATATTTAATGATGAGATATCACCTTTCACTCCAAACACTCCTGGGTTGCTTCCTTGATTGTATATGCCACCACTGAAATGCAGCTGCCTCTGGGGCAGAGGCCAATGGACAACCCACATTACACCCAAGGGAAAGTTTTGGTCGGAAACCTGCTTTTATGGGAAGTGTCAGTGAAACTTCAGAATCCATCATGGGACACAAAAACCCAGCAGCCTGATACTCAGCAAGCTGCACTGAACTCAGTTAAACCACATTAAGAATTAGGGAAAAAAAGAAGCTCCAAACTATTTCTTCATTATTGCTTTGCAAAAAAAGGTAGGAATTTCAAGTGTGGTTGTGGTCATGGTCGATGCACTGCCAGATCACCAGGAGCACAAGTTTGGTGCAGATCACAAACAGGCATCTGATCACACTTCTATCAAGTGGACCAAAGCACATAAGATAAGAGTTAAGCCTTTTCTTCATGCCAGCTTAAAGGCAGGATGGGTAAAAAACTTCTGGGCTACATGAAGCCACCATGGTGCAGACAAGTGA